ATGGGAAATCTCCTGTCTCGGGGGAGGAGAAGGTCCCGCATAAATAAAAACAAACATGCGGGACACCCTCGATCCGTCCCTGATTGGGCTTCTGCCTGGCCAGGGTGGGAAGAGGAACCCACACCCGGGATTGCACGTCGGCAGCTAACTGCCGGCAACCCGGGGGGTGGAGGGGTGCGCGGGCCGCTCGGACATATTCCGAGGTCGGGGTCGCGCACCCTGGGAAGACCATCCCGCCGGAACTACCGGGAGGTTAAACTCCGGGCCGGCGGGACGGGAGGTGGGGCCGCAGGGACCGGTAGATTGGCCCTCCCCACATTCTGTGGAGAGGTGCCGCACCCCGGCAACCCTGCGACCCCCCCTGATCACGTCCGCGCCTCGCGGCGTGATCGGCCGAGTTAAGCCCTCCCGTGTGGGCAGCTGCGCACGAGGAGCATCAGGGGTCTGCGTGGTATTTGCCAGGACCCCTACAGCGATGGTCCGACAAACGTCGGACCTGGGCTCATATCGTAAACCCCCGGGGTCGTTATGTCATGTCTGTGACGATCTCCGGGGGAGCGAGGGCCTTAGCTTATCCGCTTGGGCTGCGAAGATGGGGACCTCTTTAAAAAAACCCCCCCAATCTTAAGTTCTGGGCCGCGGCGATGAGATGGATGGCCGGCGGGTTAGTCGGTCACTAGCGGTCCACCCTGGGGCACCTGGCGCACCCCAGGTGTATCAAGCCCGAACCCAGGCGTGGGGCTCCGCCTGGGGGGTAACTAATTTCTCCATTCTTCATGGCCCGCCCTGTAAGCCTACGGGTGATAAGGGGCGGGCAACCTAAATATGGATTACAATATAAAAAACCTGGGAAAAGGGGGGAAGAATGAGGAGGAGGACGCAGGTACGTCGCCGGCGACCGTGCCAACAATGCACGAAGCAGCCGTCCAGCAGTCCTGCGGGGACCAAGGTAGAGGTCCGCGCTGAGGAGGGGGAGCGACCCGGGGAGCAAGCCTCTGGGACTCCTCCCGATCTGCCTCGTGATGAAGGCGGACCCGCGCGAGGTACTAGATCGCGCACCAGGGCTGGTAGCCAGGCTCGGGCCGAAGACCAGGCGCGGACTGCTGCCAGCCCGGAGAGGACTCGATCGGCCTCGAGGGGTAGCTCTCGGAGCCGAAAGAGCCAACCGAGGGTCCCATCTCCGGGACAGACCAAAAGAGGGAGGGACGGCTCGGTGGACAGCCGAGCGTCCTCAATGGAATGGGCGGCAGCCGAGGAAGGGCCGCTGGATATCGCGGTGGTGGGGGAGGAGGTGGAAACACCGGCCTCACCGAAGACCGCTGCCGCAGCTGGGGAGAATTTGCCGGCCCCCACTCTCACCCCTGAGAGTCCGGGGCGCAAGCAGGGTCTGCCGTGTGGGGACCCCTTGCGCGGGGGGAGGTGCACGGCGGACCAAATGGCCCTAAAGAAACAGGCCATTGAGGAGAGGAAACTGGCCAAAGTGACGGACTACGTCAGCGACGAGGCCAGAAGACCCTACGGCCCAAGGACGGAGAAGGCCAAGAAGGCTGCGGAGTTAATGGTCCGCGACCACAGGGTCATGGAGACCGTGGAGGTGTCCACCCGACTTTACCGGTCGGTGGACACCGTAATGAAGGTTGCCCGGAAGTCCGGCAGCATAAAGGGCTCCCTCCTGGGCGAGCTGTGGCGAGCGGCCGAAGAACTCTCGGCCTGCGGAACCACACTCGCCGTGAGGGCCCAGGGTGTTGCCGGGCAATCGGGGGCCGTCCATGCCCCTGTGGCAAGGGAGAACGAGGCCCTGTTGAGGCGGGAGCTCGATGAGCTTGGCTCGCCGAACCGCCTCCTCAGGGCCCGAATTGTAATGCTGGGCGAGGCGGGGGGCTCTTCGGTGCCCCCCGGCACAAGCAGGGGTGGCGGGTGCGCGTCCGCCGGCCGCAAGAGGTCAACGGTGACGGCGGCGCTGAGCTCCTCTTCCGAGGAAGAAATCCGGTGCAGCCGGAAGAAGAGGGGTGGGGTAATCCCCCTTCCTATCTCCCCTCCCTCGGGGGGAGACCAACGAATGGAGGTGGAGGTGGATGGGAGATATGGTGCCCGATCCGCCCCCCCACTCCGCGGGAGTGACGAAGAGGAGAGGGGGAGGCTCCTTAGAAGGGAGGTCGACAGAGACCGGAGAGATGGCAGGGTCCCTCCGGCCATCAGGCCCCCTCTCGGGGGCAAAACTATCCCCTTCCCAGACGCCTGGGGAAGGAATGCGGGCGGCCAACAGCAGCCGAGGGGGCCGGAGCGCGTACAGCGCCAGCAGCAGCCCCGGCCCGGGCAGGGAGGGCGGGCCGCCACCGCCCTGAAAAAACAACAGCGGCAGAGGGGGCAGTTGGAAGAGGGGCGACTGCAGCACCAAAGGCCGCAACAGCAGCGGCAGTGGCCCCCCCTGATTGGATACGGCGGGGCGCGCCTAGATATCGGGGAGGAGGAGCGCGCTGCCCTAGAGCTGTTGCTTGAGGCAGCAATTCCCCGTGTCCTGGCGCGTCTTGGATACACCCCCCGGGAGAGGTATGTCTCCCCGGTACGACCGTCAGCGCAGGCGTCGTCAGGGGGTGGCCGACGCACGGATACCTTTGGCTCCCCTCCCACGACGAGGGCGACAGAACCCGGAGGGAGGGGGACTACTCTCGCAACCAGCAAGAGGAAGAAAGGGAAGAAGAGAAGGAGGAGTATGAAGGGCGCTGGTGAGGGGGGGGAATAGTTTTGTCCCCCCTCCTCCCCAAGAGTCCACTGGCCCGCAGAAGGAGGAGCCGCCGCGGGATCTTGGCGGCGCCCTCCTGTGGGCGGTGGCTCCCCACGCCGCTGGCCCGAACAAGGAGACGTGGGCCACGGTGGTGGGGAGAAAAGGGTGGAAAAATGGGGGGCAAAGCGCCCCCCCATCAGCACCCTGGGCGGCTTCTGGGGCCGAACTGCGGCGGCAGAGTGCGCCGACCCGTGGTTCGAAGGGAGAAGGGAGGGACACGAGACAGGGGGGCACAAAGCCCCCTCTGTCCCTCCCTAAACCTCCTCGCTCGGCGGCGATATCGGTGACGTGCCCAATGGGCACGTATGCCGAGGTTATGCGCCGAGCGAGGAGGGAGATTAGCTTGGAGGAACTCGGGATCGGGGGCCTTCGCACCAAGAGGGCGGCAACCGGTGCCCTGGTGCTGGAGGTGTCCGGTCCCGAGGGACATAAGAAGGCCGATGCCTTAGCCTGCCAAATGAGGACCCTCTTCGCCGAGGAAAAGGGAGTGCGCATTGCACGACCGGCGAAGAGGGCCGAGCTACGGGTCCGCGACTTGGACGACGCGACGACGACGGAGGATGTCGTCGCTGCCATTGCGTCGTCCGGCGGTTGCGGGCCTGAAGAGGTGAGGGCAGGAAATATCCGTGCCGGGGCCAACGGGCTGGGCACCATATGGGTGCAATGCCCGTTGGCCTCGGCCAAGAAGGTGTTGGACGGTGGCCGCCTCCGCGTGGGGTGGTCCACCGTCCGTGTGGAGGCCCTCGCCGGACGCCCGCTGCAGTGTTACAGGTGCATGCAGCGGGGACACGTGAGGGCCACATGCACGTCGGTGGTGGACCGCAGCGGGCTATGCTACCGCTGCGGTCGGGATGGCCACAGGGCGGCGGAGTGCGGCGGACGGGTGGAATGCCCTGTCTGCCGCAATGCCAAGAGGCCCTGTGGCCATCGTATGGGCACATCTTCCTGCCCGATGGGGGGCAAGGGGGCAAAGAGGGGGGGCGGGGGACCGGGCTATGCCCCCCCTCGGCCCCCCAAAATAAAGAGGAAGAACGGTTTTTCTCCCATTGGGGGGGACAGAGGTCCTGCGAGAGTGGCGCAGGGGGGGCGCCTGCAATAGCGCGTACCCCCCTGCCACCAAAAGGGACAGGTTCCTCCCCAACAGGGGAGAGGAATCCGAGCCGCCGCTCCCCCAGAGGCCAAGCAGGCCTCGACGAAGGGTCGGGGGGAGAAGCGGTGGCAAAGGGGAAGCGGTAAGTAAGGGGAGCGGGGGTAGTAGATCCCGCTCCCCCATTACAAAGCCCGCTAAAGGAGCGGGAGCTGGCCTGGAGGAGAGGGAGGGTGTACCATTGCAATAGGTACACTTCTCCTCCAGGCCAACTTGCGCCGCGCTCGGGCGGCCCAGGACCTGTTTGTCCAAGGGTTGCGCGAGCGCGGCGCGGGGCGGGGATAGGGGTCGCTGCCGAGCCCTACTCGGTCCCGGAGAAATCACCCTCCATTCTGGGGGACACCCGGGACCATAGGGGTAGGTGCTCGGTGGCGATCTTTGGGGGGGATGGTTACGGCTCCCCCTCGATTAAATTCGTCGAGGGGGGGGCCGGCTACGTCGCGGTCGAGTGGAGGCCCACAGATGTGGTCGGGTGCTATGCCCCGCCCTCCTGGACCCGCGCCGAATTCGGGGGATTGCTGGACCGGCTGGAGGCGCTCGTGATGAGGCGCCTCCCCAGGCGGGTCATCGTCTCTGGGGATTTCAATGCCCACAGCACGATGTGGGGATCCCCGGGGACATGCCTCCGCGGCGCGGACCTCCGGGAGTGGGCTGCGTCCACCGGCCTCAGTTTGCAAAACAGGGGCCGGGAGAGCACCTTCGTCGGGTGGCAGGGGGAGTCCATCGTCGATCTGACGTGGACCTCCCCCGCGGCCGCCCGACAGGTACAGGGATGGAGGGTGGCGACTGAGGCGGAGACCGGATCCGATCACCGGTATATAGAGCTCCGCCTTTTCGTCGCCCCTCGGGGGGTGCTCTCGAGGCGCAGCAGCGGGGCGGCAAGGCCGCCGAGGTGGGCGCTAACCCTGCTTGACCGCGACAGGTTTGTGGCTGCCGTCCGCGCGGCGCATTGGGGTGAAGCGGGGCCCGTAGTCGGGTCCTGCGAGTCCATTGGGGGGGAAGCAATGAGGATCCGGGGCCTGATGAGGGACGCGTGCGATGCGTCCATGCCCCGGTCCTCCCCCCCCCATGACCCGTAGGGCCGCCTATTGGTGGTCGGCGGAGATTGCCGAGCTCAGGCGCTCCGCCGGCCGTGCCTGGAGGGCGATGGCGGCCCTGCGGGACAGGGACGCACGGGTGGCGGCATCGGCCGTCCTCACGGCCAGGAGAGACGCCGTGAGGACGGCCATTGCCAGGGCCAAGGCCGCGACCTGGGAGGACCTCATCTCCTCTGTGGATCGGGATCCTTGGGGGCGCCCATACCGCATGGTAATGCGGCGATTACGCCCCTGGGCGCCCCCAGTTACGGACACCCTCAGCCCCGAGCTCCTCGACAAAATTGTGGAGGGGCTATTCCCGAGGGTGGGTAACAATATCCCACCCTACACGGGACCCCCTCCCGACTGGGAGGAGGGGGAGCTCGGGGTGACGGCAGAGGAGATGAGGCGAGCCGCCAAGAGGCTCGGCGCCAAGGGAAAGGCGCCGGGCCCTGACGGCATCCCGGGCCGAGCATGGGCCTTGGCCCTGGCCCAGGAGGCTGAGGTAGGAGACCGCCTCAGGCGGCTATTTACGAGGTGCCTCGAGGCTGGCCTGTTTCCGGCCCCGTGGAAGAGGGCTAGACTGGCCTTCTTACGTAAGGAGGGCAAGCCGGAGGAATCCCCTTCCGCATACAGACCTTTGTGTCTGTTGGACGAGGCGGGCAAAATGTTCGAAAGAATCATGCAAGCCCGCCTCGTTCGGCACCTGTCCCGGAGTGGTCCCGCGCTAGACGACGCGCAATATGGCTTCCGAGAGGGCCGATCGACGGTCGACGCGATCATGCGCGTCAGGTTTCTCTCGGAGGCCATCGTGAGGAGGGGGGGGGGGGGCGTTGGCTATATCAATTGATATAGCCAACGCATTTAACACCCTCCCCTGGGGCCAGGTAGAGGCGGGAATGACCCACTTTGGGTTCCCGCTCTACCTGGTCCACATTATAAAGGACTATTTCCGGGGCAGGCGCTTGGAGTTCCGCAACAAGGCGGAACTCCAATGCGGAAGGGAGGTGCATTGCGGTGTTCCGCAGGGGGTCGGTAATCGGCCCCCTTCTGTGGAACATCGCATACGACCAGGTCCTCCGGACCGCCCTCCCCCCCGGCTGCCGCGTCGTCTGCTATGCGGACGACACGTTAGTGGTAGCCGGGGGACGGGACTGGAAGCAGGCCGGAGATTTGGGGCAACTGGCCCTTGGCCAGGTGGTGCACTCCATCCGGAGCATGGGTCTCGAGGTGTCTCCCCCGAAAACGGAAGCTTTGTTCTTCCATGACGGGAGCAGGGGGAGGCCACCTCGATTAAGGCTCCGGATTGGCGGGATCTCCGTGAGGGTGGGCACCGAGATGAAGTACGTCGGGCTCACCCTGGATGGCACTTGGGGGTTCGAAAAGCACTTTGAGGTGCTGGCCCCCAAGTTGGGCGGGATGGCGGGCGCACTGGGCGCCCTCCTGCCCAATATCGGCGGCCCGAAAAGGCGGGCTAGGCGGCTGTTCGCGAACGTGGTCCATTCGGTGGCCCTCTACGGGGCCCCGATATGGGCGGGGGAGATGGCCGGGTCCCGGCGGATCCAACAAATGGTCCGCCGGGCCCAGAGGTTTATGGCCACTCGCCTCGCCCGGGCATATAGGACCGCGTCGCACGTGGCCGCCACGGCCCTGGCAGGGATCCCCCCGGTGGAGCTCCTTGCTATGATGCACGCCGAGAATTATCGGCGTGCTAGGGAGCTCCGCCGATGCCATCCTGCCCTGCCTACAGGAATGGGTGGGCAGGGCACACGGAGATCTCACATTCCGGACGACGCAGGTGCTCACGGGCCATGGCTGCTTTGGGGAGTACCTGCATAGGATCGTCCGGAGGGAGTGCACCAGCCGCTGCCACCACTGCGAGGCGGCTGAGGACACGGCGCAACACACGCTGGGCGAATGCCCGGCATGGGAGGAAGAGCGCCGTGTTTTCGTAGGCGTGGTGGGAGCGGACCTCTCGCCCCCGGCCCTCATCAGGGCTATGTTAGAGGGACGAGAGGCCTGGTCGGCTGTTACCTCCTTCTGCAAGGATGTAATGTCGCAGAAGGAGGAGCAGGAGAGGGCCAGACGGGGGGAGACGTTTGTGGGGGGCGGCGAATTCGCCGCGCCCCCCGCCCTCGGCCGGCACACCAACGAGGTGTGCCTGCACCGGGAAGGAGGGCGCAAGCCGGCGCGGCGGGGAGAGCTCCATTGTCCTCCCCTAGAGCCGCGCCGGCAGCGCCCGTCGTGCCGCCTTTGCAAAGGAGGAGGCGGCGCGAAGAGAGGCGCCTGAGGAGGGAGGCCGCCGCCGCTAGGGCACTTGAAGCCCGCAGGCGGCGGCTCCAGTCCCTCCGACCGCGACAGGCGCCGCCAAGACTCGGCGGCGGCGCCTGGAGCGACTGGCGGGGGAGAGGGGGTGGGGTGTCGGCGGTGCGCGCCCCCCTTACGGGGGGTGCATTGCTGGCGCACTCGCTGCCGCCCCCCCCCTCTCCCGGGGTAGGGGGGTCTTGACCGTGGGGGGGAGGGGGCCGACGCAGGCCTGCCCCTCCCCCCCCATAAGTCGGTCAGGATAAGCGGTTGAGAGGCGGGTGACCGGGTGGCGAACCGGCCCCCGCCCCCTCCCCAAGAGGGGACGGGCCGCGCGGCGTGGGGTCCTGCGCTGCGCGGCTATGTGACGGGAACGGCCGGAGGGAGCATACCCCCCCCCCACCGCACCCCTCCTGGAGCGATTGGGGGGATCGTTGGTGCCGCCACTGGCGGCACCTACCCTCCGGCCCGTGATTGGACGGCGTTAGCCTCTAGCGGCTGGGGGCGCCCCGGAAGGATGCGAA